CTAAACCCTAAACCCTAAACCCTAAACCCTAAACCCTAAACCCCAAACCCTAAACCCTAAACCCTAAACCCTAAACCCCAAACTCCTAAACTCCTAAACTCCTAAACTCCTAAACTCCTAAAGCCTAAATTACACCGGGCCCGCTTCCCCAGCCCCCGGATCTCTTCCGACGGAGCTCAACTTCGCGAGAAGCGCCGAGCCACCTCAAGCGCTTGTAGGGCCCTTATTGGGCTGAGAGTTTAGGGTTAAGGGTTAAGGATTTAGGGTTTTAGGGTTTAGGGTTTAGGGAGGGTTGAAGGCGTAAGGTTTAGGGGCTTGGGATTGGGGATTGAGGGTTTCACGTTTAGGTTTGACGGTTGAGGGTAAAGGGTTTAGGGTCTGGGGGCTTGTATGGTGCAGGGTTGAGGGTCCCTAAAAGCCCGAAAGCCCTACACCCTGAACCCTAAACCCTGAACCCTGAACCCTAAACCCTAAACCCCAACCCCTAAACCCTAAACCCTAAACGTATCCCTTGACAGTTCGTGGCTCGGGGGTTCAGAATCTCGTGCTTATCGCGTTGGTGTCCAGGGGCCTGAGGCTCCCTCGCCACTGCCCGGACTCCCGAACCCGAGTCAAAAATCTCTCCAGGGGTTTAGGGTTTAGGGTTTAGGGTTTAGGGTTGTGAGGCTTGTTTTGCAAAGCGGTTCAGGGTTTAGGGTTTAGGGTTTAGGGTTTAGGGTTTAGGTTTTGGGGTTTGGGGTTTGGGGTTTGGGGCTCAGGGTTTCCACCGATCTTGTGGCTGGGGCCGGAGAAAGCTGTCCAAAAGTGCCGAGGTTTCACATCATGTCTGGTCTAGACTTATTTTCAGCTCGCTACACCTTGCGAACCCCAAACGCTAGACCCTAAGCCCTAACCCCGAACCCTAAACCCTAAGCCCTAAGCCCTAAGCCCTAAGCCCTAAGCCCTAAGCTCCAGGGTTCTATAAATAAGGGTTTCACAACTTCTAGACAAGAACTTGCGCTGGTACACTGGTACATCAACTTTTGGGGTTCGGGGTGTTGGGCTCCTGCACAAGAAGCCCAGTATTTAATGGGTTCAGGGTTTCGGGTTTAGGGTTCAAAACCCTAAACCCTAAACCCTATATAGTTTATTGGGTTTCGGGTTTCGAGTTTCAACGAAGAAAGCCTGAAAATCGACGAGGGATGCCTGCGGTGCATCTTTGATTGAAGGGGGGTAGAGAATACTGGACCCCTAACCCTAAGCCCTGAGGTTCTTCAGAAGTTTAGGGTTGAGGTTTAGTTTGAGAAGGGTTTAGGGTTTAGGGTTTAGGGTTTAGGGTTTAGGGTTTAGGGTTTAGGGTTTAGGGTTTAGGGCTTAGGGCTTAGGGCTTAGGGCTTAGGGCTTTAGAATGCAGTTTAGGCCACTCAGCCTTGCTCGAAGGCCTTCAGGTGGATACAGTACAAGAAGTGAGGGTAGGGTAGCTGTCACCTACCTTACTGGCCCAAAACCCAAGGAAATAAAAGTTTAAACTTTCAGAATAAACTACCTTATAAGAAGCCCAAAAGTTGAAAAGTTGGGTTTTGAGCCAGTAAGCTACTTGGAGGTTCATGGTACTTAGTAACCAGTAGTGCTTCTTTCGTGGTTCAGGGTTCAGGGTTTGGGGTTTGGGGTTTAGGGTTTGGGGTTTTGGGCTACTTGGAGGTTCATGGTACTTCCTAACCCAGTATAACTGTACTTATAGCCCACTTACAAGCCCCTTAAGTGCCCTAATATGGTTTCAAGTACAGCTACAAGTGTAGCTTTTAATTGGTTGGTAACTACCATGAACCTCCAAGTATCACTCCCCACAAAGCTCTCGGTGACTGACTGGAGCCTTTCCGATGTGCCAAGCGGGTGTTGACAGATAAGAAACCCTAAGCCCCAAACCCGAAACCCTAAAGGGAGGGAATGGTGTCCCCTGTCGAACTCCCCATCAGGAACCCGTAAGCTTCTTCTTGCAAACCTTTGGAAGTCTACTTTATCTTGGCCTCTCGGCCCATGCTTCTTGCAGGAAGTTACCCTGGAACCCCAAATCCTGGAGCTGAAACTGCCTAAACTCTTCTGCTGAGGGTGACAAGGCTATGGCAGGCCTCCCCTTCTTCCCTGCAGACCTTGGCAGCCAGACAGCACAGTGGTGCTGCCCCAGCAAGGGTGCTGGTCTGAGCGACTGCTCCAAAGGGTCCCCCAGCGGGCACGATGGCGCATAAGTCCCACTGTCATCTGCCCAGGTGCCGGCTGGTTCTTCGCAGGGAAATCGGGAACCCGGAACCCTGCTGAGAACCAGCAAGGCACAGACGGCAGGTTGGCCTCAAGGGACCCAACCTGCAGGAGCCCCACACCCGGCCAGCGGTGTGCAGACGAATCTGTGGGTAGGGCGTAAGCTCCCTTCCGACGGCAGCACTTTGCAGCAGCCACGTCGTGTGCCTTTGTTTAGGCCTGTGATGGCAGGGTTGCCAGGCTAGCTAACAAACCCCCCATGAATTGTAAGCAACTGGTTGGAGTCTTTCCAAGCAAAGCAGCATTGCATCAAAGGAAAAGATGTCCCCCTGTCTAACCGTTTAAGGGAGTGTGAGGCGGGAACCTATCTCCCACACTCCCATTCAAACCCCTAAACCCAAGACTTTGCTGCTGATTTAGGGCTGGGGGTGACACTTTTTAGGCTATGGCAGGCCTCCCCTTCCTCCCTGCAGACCTTGGCAGCCAGACAGCACAGTGGTGCTGCCCCAGCAAGGGTGCTGGTCTGAGCGACTGCTCCAAAGGGTCCCCCAGCGGGCACGATAGCGCATAAGTCCCACTGTCATCTGCCCAGGTGCCGGCTGGTTCTTCGCAGGGAATTTGGCAACTTGGAGCCCTGCTGAGAACCAGCCAGGCACAGACGGCAGGTTGGCCTCAAGGGACCCAACCTGCAGGAGCCCCACACCCGGCCAGCGGTGTGCAGACGGATCTGTGGGTAGGGCGTAAGCTGACGACAAACTTACCCTTCTGACGGCAGCATGTTGCAGCAGCCACCTCGTGTGCCTTTGTTTAGGCCTCAGGGAAGACACAAGGAAGTGTGATGACAGGGCTGCCAGGCTAGCTAACAAACCCCCAAGAATTCTAAGCAACTGGTTGGAGTCTTTCCAAGCAAAGCAGTATTGCGTCAGAAGGAAAAGATGTCCCCCTGTCTAGCCGTTTAAGGGAGTGTGAGGCGGGAACCTATCTCCCACACTCCCATTCAAACCCCTAAACCCAAGACTCTGCTGCTGATTGAGGGCTGGGGGTGACATTTTTTGGGCTATGGCAGGCCTCCCGTTCCTCCCTGCAGACCTTGGCAGCCAGACAGCACAGTGGTGCTGCCCCAGCAAGGGTGCTGGTCTGAGCGACTGCTCCAAAGGGTCCCCCAGCGGGCACGATAGCGCATAAGTCCCACTGTCATCTGCCCAAGTGCCGGCTGGTTCTTCGCAGGGAATTTGGCAACTTGGAGCCCTGCTCAAAACCAGCAAGGCACAGACGGCAGGTTGGCCTCAAGGGACCCAACCTGCAGGAGCCCCACACCCGGCCAGCGGTGTGCAGACGGATCTGTGGGTAGGGCGTAAGCTGACGACGAACCCTTCCAACGGCAGCCACCTCGTGTACCTGGGTTTCAAACCTCAAACCCACTAAACCCTAAACCCTAAAGCCTAAAGCCTAAAGCCTAAAGCCTAAACCCTAAACCCTCAACCCTAACTCACCTCTCAACCCTGCGATCTTCAGCGCGTCGAGGGGTAAGGAAGCCAGGGCCAAAAATCACCCAGCAAACTTTGGGTCCCTCCAAAACCCCAGAATTCGGGAACACACTTGAAACCGGTCTAGGGTTTAGGGTTTAGGGTTTAGAGTTTGGGGGTTTAGGGTTTCGGGCTTAGGGTGAAACCGTACCGGGATCCTTATGATTCTTTCTGGGCACGGGAAAGAGGTGGGCCAACGACGCTTTTGTCGTTCAGTCTGCTTGCTGAGTAAGTTTTCCCGCTGGTTTCAAAGACGACGCCGAGACTTGCAACAGAGTGCCACAAGGCCTGCCGCGAAGAGGTAACCACGCACATCCTAAACCCTAAACCCTAAACCCGAAACCATACACCCTAAACCACTACGTGCGAAGTCCCGCCGACCCCGCCAAGGACAAGTTGGTCGAGCGAGCATGAAAAAGCTGGCCACTCTGAGGTCTGCAGGGTTTAGGGCTTGAAGCTTAGGGCTTAGGGCTTAGGGCTTAGGGCTTAGGGCTTAGGGCTTAGGGCTTAGGGCTTAGGGCTTAGGGCTTAGGGCTTAGGGCTTAGGGTTTAGGGTTTAGGGTTTAGGGCTTTAGGGCTTGGGGCTTAGGGCTTAGGGCTTAGGGTTTAGGGTTTAGGGCTTAATGACTTCACCCAAAGAAGCTCTGATCAACCCAACAACCCCAACGAGCCCAACGTGCTTGTCGACCACGGCCTTGAAAGAACAAGCCCAAAAAGCCCGCGTCCTAAGCAGGGGTAAGGAGCCCCTACAAAGACCCAAGAGTGCCAGCGGTTTAGGGTTTAGGGTTTAGGGTTCAGGGTTCAGGGTTTAGGGTTTAGGGTTTAGGGTTTAGGGTTTAGGGCTTGGGGCTTGAGGGGGTTCAGGGGCCCCATAAACTGTGAAGCCCTGAACCCAAAACTGCGCTTGGGGGTGGGTTAGTGTTTGGGGCCTCTAGGGTTTACGGTGTGGGGATTCGGAAATAGGGTTTAGGGTTTAGAGTTTAGGTTTAGGGTTTCGGGGCATTCTCAATTCGAGAACGGTGGCCGAGCCTTGACAACAAAACCTCCGACCAACTTCCCAGAGAATCCATGATCCCCCCAGAAAGGGGACATTCCATACCACCCCAAACCCCAAACCCTAAACCCTAAACACCAAACCCTAAACCCCAAACCCTACACCCTAAACCCCAAACACTACACCCTAAACCCTAAACCCTAAACCCTCAAGCCTGAGCCCCACAAGTCTCTGGGTGCACGGACCCAGGAGGCGGCAGGGCCCAGAAGTGACCCGGCACCTGCGGCTTCGGGCTTGCTTTGGAGTTTTGGGTTTAGGGTTTAGGGTTTAGGGTTTAGGGTTCAGGGTTCAGGGTTCAGGGTTCAGGGTTCAGGGTTCAGGTTTAGCCGGTCTGGGTTTGGGGTTTGGGGTTTAGGGTTTAGGGTTTGGGGTTTAGGTTTCAGGATTAGGGTTTAGGGTTTAGGGTTTAGGGTTTATGGTTTAGGATTTCGGGTTGGTAGGGTTTAGGGTTTAAACCCAAATAAGCCCTAAGCCCTAGGACCCAAACATGCCTGAGCACACGTCCGTTGAGAGACGGTGCGGCTCGGACAGAAGACAAGCGAGTTATGGCTCATAAGGGCTTCGGGTTTAGGGTTCAGGGTTCAGGGCTTATGGTTAGGCATTTGGGGGTTTAGGGTCTCTGAGATTCTAAACCCGAAGCCCTAAACCCTAGACGCCAGACCCTAAACCCTCAACCAGACCCATGGAATCCCTAAAGCCTAAATCCTAAACCCTCAACCGTAAACCCTGAACCCCGAACCCCGAACCCCGGACCCTGGACCCTGGACCCTAAACCCTAAACCCTAAACCCTAAACCCTAAACCCTAGACCCTAACCTAGACCCATGGAATGACACGGAAAGGTGCCTTGTCCGGCTCTGATGGCGCCTTTGGCGACAGTAGAGCTGACCTGGCGGCGCGGAAGCTAGAGCCCATAGAAGTCGACATCAAAGTTCAGGTTCCCTAAGCCCTAAACCCTACATCTCAAGCCCCTTTTATGATGGTTCCCTAAACCCTAAACCCTAAACCCTAAACCCTAAACCCTAAACCCTAAACCCTAAACCTCAATCCCCTTTTTGGGATCTGGATGTGAGCATGTGAGAGCAGCCTTACAGCCTGAGCCCAAAGGAGCCCTCAGTCAAAGCTTGGGGTTCCCTGAACCCTAAACCCTAAACACGAAACCCTAAACCCTAAACCCTAAACCCTAAACCCTAAACCCTAAAGCCTAAACCCTAAACCCTAAACCCTAAACCCTAAACCCTAAACCTCAAAGGGGCCAGCGGCCTGGTGCCTCTCATCCAGGTCTCGCAAGGCCACTGCCGAGCTCACGGCTGCGGCCTGGCATTACGGTTTAGGTTTTAGGGTTTAGGGTTGAGGGTTTAGGGTCTAGAGTCTATAGAGGGTTTAGGTTAGGCCATAAACCCTGAACCCAAGCTCACCGGGTCTCAGTAGGGAGCTTTCAGAACCATCTAGATACTTTATGGCACCAAACCAAGAGGCCTAAATCCCGTAAAACCTCAACCTTCGCACCCCAAACCCTGAAGCCTGAACCCTAAAACCCTAAAACCCCAAAACCCTAAAACCCTAAAACCCTAAAACCCTAAAACCCCAAAACCCTAAAAAGAATAAGCCCGAAGGCCCTCAAGGTCTCTGGGTACGGCGCTCTTGCGGTCTTAGCGGCTTTGGGGGGGGAGAGTTTAGGGCTTGGGGGGTTTAGGGTTTAGGGTTTAGGGCTTAGGGTTTAGGCATTGTTTTTCGGGTTCAGGGTCTGGGAAATTAGGGTTTTAGATGCAAGGGTTTTTGAGGGGGTTTGGGTTTAGGGTTTCGGGTTTCCGCAAACCCTAAACCCTACACCCTAAACCCTAAACCCTACACCCTAAACCCTACACCCTAAACCCTACACCCTAAAGAGTTGAGACAGCAAGGTTTCCCACCTGCGTCCGCTCGGAGACCCGCCAGCGCTCGTCGAAAGAGCGGACCTGCAGCAGTCATGGGCTCTGAGGTTTTAGGGTTTAGGGTTTAGGGTTTAGGGTGTAGGGTGTAGGGTTTAGGGTGGTGCCAGTGCTGTGGAGACGCCTCCTGCCCCAAACTCCTACACCCAAGCCCTAAACCCTAAACCCTAAACCCTAAGCCCCAAACCCTGGGCGTGGGGACCTGCATCCAGGAGGGGGGCTGCATGTCCCCTCAAACCATACCGCACCTATCTCCCTCATTCCCTAGTAACGGCCAGCCACAACACCCGAACCCCTACCCCCCCCCCCCTCCCCCAAAAAAAAAAAAAACTAAACCCCTGAAAGCCCTAAACCCCGAAGACCTAAACCCCAAAACACCAACCCCCGTCCCTGAAACCCCAATACCCTCAACCCCCAAAACCCTGATTCTCTGAAACCCTTAAACTCCAAACTGGAAACCCTAAACCCCCAAGCCCTACACCCCAAGGCCCATAAAGTCCCTAATTAAACCCTTAAACCCCTTGACCCTAAGCCCACAACACCCTGAACCAAGCCCTAAACCCCCAAAACCCCTACACCTTCTCAAGACCCCAAAAGCCCCTAAACCCTAAACCCCTAAACCCTAAAACCTAAACCCCTGACGAACCCCTAAACCCTAAACCCCTGAACCCTATACCCCTAAACCCCCAAACCCCTAAACCCCTAAATCCGCTCAGCCCCTCAACCCCTAAACCCCACAACCCTGACACCCTACACCCCTGCACCCCTGCACCCCTACACCCCTACACCCCTGCACCCCTGCACCCCTACACCCCTAAACCCCCAAACCCCTAAACCCCTAAACCCCTAAACCCCCCAACCCCTAATGCACACCTAAACCCCTAACCCCCGAGCCCCTAAACCCCTAAACCCCTAAACCCCTAAACCCCTAAACCCCTAAACCCCTGAACCCCTGAACCCCTAAACCCCGAAACCCCAAACCCTAAACCCTAAACCCTAAACCCTAAACCTTAAACCCCTAAACCCCAAATCCCTAAACCCTAAACAATAAACCCTGAAACCGAAACCCTAAACCAACAACCCTAAACCCTAAACCCTAAACCCTAAACCCTAAACCCTAAACCCTAAACCCTAAACCCTAAACCCTAAACCCTAAACCCTAAACCCTAAACCCTAAACCCTAAACCCTAAACCCTAAACCCTAAACCCTAAGGCGACTCTGGGCCCTGAGGCGCCGCTCAGTGCGCCGTCCAGGCGTTCGGAGAGCCGGTGCTCGCGAGCCACGTGGCGCACGTGCGCGGCGGCCTGGGCAGGGGCTTTGGGGTTTGGGGTTTGGGGTTTCGGGCGTGGGGTTTGGGGTTTAGGGTTTAGGGTTTAGGGTTTAGGGTATGGGATTTGGGGTTAAGAGCCAGCCCGTAAACGAAGGAATATACCCTAAACTGTATAATTAGGGGTCCTGAGTAAGATTTAGAGCTCAAAACCTCACAAAGAAGAGAAGTACCTTACATTGTGGAGGGATCCTTATGATGCGTCCAGGTACATCTATTCCTGAATTGCTGGGGCTCTTCGGGCAGAAGCCCGTTTGAGGGGTTCGGGGTTTGCAGGGCTTAGGGTTTCGGGTTTTCGGGGTTTAGGGTGTAGGCTTTGGGGTTTAGGCTTTGGGTTTAGGGTTCGGGGGCTAGGGTTGCCATGTTCCAGTGCTTGCATGGAGGCTCCTGAAAAGCCTTCTGCCCCAAACCCTAAACAACGCTAGGTTGTAGGCGAGTGTAGGCCCCAAGGCTCTGAAACTAGCTTGAAGCCCTCCCCTCACCCTACACTGCTTAAGGGAGGGGGTTCAAGGGGGGTCTGCGACCCAGGGTTCCCTTCTCCTCCCCACCTACTCCCTAAGGCTCCCCGGCTCCCCAACCTAGGTCTCTAAACCCTAAACCCTAAACCCTAAACCCCAAACCCTAAACCCTGAACCCTAGACCCTAGACCCTAAACCCTAAACCCTAAACCTGAAACCCTAAACACCCCTCCCTTAAGGACCCTGTCACTTACACTGTTCTCTACACGAAGTCCCGGATGCCCCTAGAAACCCTAAATGACCTCGAACCCTAAATCCTAAAACCCTACTTGGAGGTTCATGGGTTTAGGGTTTAGGGTTTAGGGTTTCGGGTTTAAGTTATAAGTGCCCATGAACCTCCAAGTATCTGCCCTTAAACGGGGACCCCTTACATGCCCCTTGTATGCCCTATACAACTCAAGGGCCCGTACTTCAGAACCCAACAAAGAAGGTAGGGGACCAACCACAATGTGATTCAAATATTCCCTCGAGTTTTATGGAAAACAAAAACATGAAAAAAAAACACACACACACACACACACACACACACACACACACACACGGGCCCTAAATGTAGTAAAATCCCCAAAGCCTAAACCCCAAACCCGTAAAAAGAACCTAAGTACCCTAAACTCCTTAAACCCTACATACCCTAAAAGCTCTAGACTAAACCTACAGCCCTAAAAACACTAAATAACTTAAACCCTACATACCCTCAAAAACCTGAAACCCATAAATAGCCCTTAAAAAACAACAAACTTTTGACAATCCTAAATTCATGCTTCAAAAACCGAAAATACCTTTGAAACATCCCGAAAAGCCGCAATCAACAACAAAACAAAATCTACCAAAACAAAAACAACAACAACAACAACAAAACTTAAAAAACAAAAACTCAAGGAGCCCTAAACCCTAAACCCTAAACCCTAAACCCTAAACCCTAAAACCTAAAACCCTGAAGATGTAGACAAGAAGGCCGACCTGGAGTCCCATCGAGCCCATGGAGCGGGCGGCCTCGCCTGCTGAGTCCTGCTTCTGGGGTTTAGGGTTTAGGGGGTTTAGGGTTTAGGGGGTTTAGGGTTTAGGGGGTTTAGGGTTTAGGGGGTTTAGGGTTTGGGGTTTAGGGTTTAGGGTTTAGGGTTTAGGGTTTAGGGTTTAGGGTTTAGGGGCAGCAAGCTCAGAGCGGCAAACCCTTTCCTCTGTTCGTGGGCTGGCGCCACGTCGCCTGCACGTAATCTCGTCCTACAGGGACGTCGTGATGGGCGTTGCACAGGTGAGCCTGACGAGACGGACCAGAACTACAGTACCTCTCAAAATCTCAAAATGTCAATCTCTCAATCTCGAGACTGCACTGAGACTCTCTCGGAGCCGATATCGGAGATGCGCACCTTTGGTGCGCATCAGGCGACATCAGCTCCTCTAGGGAAACGATAGATTCACTACAAAATTAAAACGTGCGGCCATGCGCGCACCCTCCTCAAGCCAAGGGTACAACGTACTCAGAGCGCACCACGTAGGCCGAAGACACCAGAATGCGGGAGCCGTGGGGTTCGAGGTCGACCGACATCCCGTAAAGGTCCTTCATCTGCTTGCAGAGGTTGTCGAAAGACTCGGGAGAAACCTGGTGGCAATCCTTGTCAACGTGCCAAGTGATGACGTACGGAGAGCACACTGAGTTGTCGTGCGACTGGCCGGTGGTTGACCTGGGTTGAGGGCTTCGGCTTGAGGGTTTGGGGTTGCTTAAGGCTTGTAAGGCTTCAAGTTTAGGTCGGTTCAGGACCCTACTTTTTGAAAGAAAGTGCCGCACTGAGAAAACCACTCCGCCTTACAACGACACTCGGCCTGGAAGGAACCGTGCCTCTTGCAAGCCACGCGACCCAGAGTACATGACTGAATTGTTGTGCCCAACCACCTTAGTAGCCCAGTAACCATATTATTATAAGGGTACCCCTTGTTTGGTTGGTTACTTTATAAGGGAACCTTGAACCCCAAAGAAGGGAAAAGGGTACCACTGGGCTACCAAGCCACAGTCCAGCCATGCAGCAGGTCGTTCACAGTAGGCCCCCCGTTCACGATCTGGTAGATCTGGCCCTGCACCACGACCATAGGGTTCAGAAGGCCACGACCGTTTGCGGCACCTGCAGCAGGAACACGTGCTTAGATGCTTTGAATTAGAATCACTTTACAGCAAGACTAAAGACTTTCGGCTCTGGGAGACTCACACACACACACCCGCACTTGCACACGCGTTGACTCACACGCGCATCCCACGCTGATGGTGACTGTGTGACAGGCAGGTCAAAGTGGTTGGTTGCATGCTCACGTGCCTCCCAAACCATCAGCGAGGAGGTCCGCAGTGATGTCGTCCGAAGCATTGTAGTCGGTGCCGGCTGAAGAGTGCACGTAGTGGACCTCGTAGGATTTGCCGACCTGCACGTCACCCTTGCAGTACTGAAAGGCGTACGGCGTCATCTGTGCGTCAGTGAGCGTGTCCGTGGGGCACATGAACCCAGGCCGTGGGTTGCCGGCCAGGCGCCTGCCGGAGGAGGCCGCGTCGTACGCCTCTGCGTCGGTTCCGTTGTTGTAGGCATCACTCTTATGCTCAGCCCCCAAGTGGAAGTGCACGTTCACCAGCGGCAGGAAGTCCGCCTGAGCATCCGTCAGAGTAGCCGCCTTCGGCACCATGCTGCCTGTCGCGCCAGTTGAGAGATCACGAGGTGTCTGAGGCTCGGCCATGTTGCAAGCTGGCTTGTTGAAGTTGTATGGGCAAGCGGGAGTGCCCGGCACGGGGTTGCTCAGCACCGTGGTCGGGGAGCCACAGCACTGCTCACTCTTGTAAAAGTCCTTCAACTCGCCGCAAGTCACGGCCTCCGCCCCGACGGCCAGCGCCAGCACCAACGCCAAGCCAGTGGCAACCTTGGGCCGGGCCGTGGCGAGAGGCAGCACCAGCGCCATCCATGGCGAGCCGCGGAATCCGGAAGCCGTCTCGTCGCCGGTTGACTCGCAAAGGTCCACCTCGGGATCGTCAGGGCAGGTGGCGATGGCGACTTTGGCGAGGCAGGCGATCACCGCAAGCAAACGGCACATGGCTACCAGGATTAAGGCCTGTGTCTCGTGACCACTCTCAGCTTCTGACCAGCAAATGCTCAGCATGCAGAAGTTTTCAGCAAAATTTAGGTGGCTTCGGGTCCAGCATGTGAGTGGTCTAGAAACCGGGTGATGGGGGGGGGGATACGTACTGTTCCAGACGGTTTAGGGTTAGACTGGTTTGAGGTTGCGGGTGAAAAATCTGGCCTTAAAGCCTTGACCCTCATGCCGCAACCCGAAACCGCCAGTTTTCCTCCTGACAAAGGCGGTTCAGTCCCTAAACCCGAAACCCTAAACCCTAACCCTAAACCCTAAAACCTCAACCTCAGCAAGATGCGAAGAAGGCACCCAGCATTCATATCCTACATGTCCAGGATTTAAGCCAGTAGCCAGGAGTCAGATCTCAGAAACTCCCCAAGCAACCAAAAACCCTGAACCGAAACTCCAACTCCCAAAACGTAACTCTTATCCCTAAACCCTATAACCCTAAACCCTGAACCCTGAACCCTAAACCCTAAACCCTAAACCGCATCCTCCCGGGTAGTTGCGTAGGCCGCACCGGCTGCCAAGCCCACAGCACAAACAGGTGCCTGGGAGGTTTGCCAGAGGTTTATCGCATCAGGTTTAGGGTTTAGGGTTTAGGGTTTAGGGCTAGGGTTTAGGGTTTAGGGCCAAGTTTAGGGTTTGGGGTTTGGGTGTTAGGGGCAGGTTTTCGCGGTCGAGAAAAATTGAGCGGCCCTAAGCCCTGAACCCTAAAGGGTTCAGGGTTGAGGGTTTCGGGTTTAGGCAAGTTTCGGGTGAGGCTTCCACGCCCTTATGGTCTAGTTGAATGTAGGCCCGCATATTTAGGGTACCCAGAGCCGGGGCCTCAGCAAACGTGGCTGAGGGCGTCGCCTCACAGTAACCCTACATACAAAACCCGAGACCCTAAACCCATAGATCACAGTCCTCAACCCGAAGCCCTGGACCCCGAAACCCTTTCAACCCTTCATTAAACCCTGAACCCTAAACCCTAAACCCTGCACCCTAAACCCTAAACCCTAAATCCCCCGACTTGTGGCCCGCGCGTGGAGTACCAAGAGGCCGGCTGCACCACCTAGGAACAAGGGGTAACCCTAAACCCGAAACCCTAAACCCTAAACCCTAAACCCGAAACCCGAAACCCTAAACCCTAAACCCTAAACCCTAAACCCTAACTCCTCAGCCCTAAACCCTAAACCCTAAACCCGAAACCCTAAACCCTAAACCCTAAACCCGAAACCCTAAACCCTAAACCTTAAACCCTACAGGGCTTCTCAGAGTTGAGGGCGTAGGGGTCTGAGGGTTTAGGGCACTACGGGTTTTCAGACTCGGACCCCCTGAGGATGTTTCTCTGAGGGGTTTAGGGTTTAGGGTTTAGGGTTTAGGGTTTGGGGTTTGGGGTTTGGGGTTTGGGGTTTGGGGTTTGGGGTTTGGGGTTTGGGGTTTGCGGTTTAGAGTGGCCCCTATAGGCCCTTATAGGCTTTCAAAAGGGTCCCCAAACCCTCAAAAGACTATATGGTGCCTGAATAATTAAACAAGGGTTTTGGGGGTGATTAGAGTATCAGTGTAAAGGGACCATAAGGGAATACTACTAGATTACAACCTTAACTAGGATGGCCCGTAAAACCCTCTGAAAACCTTTGAAAACTCTTAAAGCCCATGAAGCCCTCCAGGCCTCCAGACCTTCGTACTGCACGCCCCCTAGGGTCTAAGCTTCAGGCTTTACGGTTATTACCCTAATCCCGAATCCCTAAACCCTAATTAAACCCGAAACCCTAAGCCGACGTCAACCCAGTCCCTGCAAACGACCCTGAAAGTTACAACCCTGTCTTACAAAATTCTGGAGTCTTCCTGAACTCAAGGGTGCTGGAGTTTGCTGGGCCAACTTCACAACCCTATTCAGGGTTATGGGTTTAGGGTTTAGGTTTTAGGGGGTGGGGTCGGTTTAGGGTTTATAGAGAGTTTAGGGCTTAGGGCATACACACCCTAAACCCTAAACCCTAACCCCTAACCCCTAACCCCTAAACCCTAAACCCTAAACCCTAAACCCTGAACCCTTCAAGGAGGCTCTGGGGGCACCCGGCTCACAGCTGCGGCTGACGCGGCCTTCTTGGCCCAGCTGGACCTGGGCGGGAGATCCCAGATGCACCAAAAAAGCGAAACCCGAGTGCAGTTGCTCAGCCGGGTTCAGGGTTTAGGGTTTAGGGTTTAGGGTTTAGGGTTTAGGGTTTAGGGTTTTTAGGGTTTTTAGGGTTTTTAGGGTTTAGGGTTTAGGGTCTAGGGTCTAGGGTTTAGGGTTTATTAGGGTTCAGGGTCCGCCGACCCTGGCGGCGTGTTGGATAGGTTTCTGGAGGTGAAAACCTCCCTTTTTCCCTCGTTATGGGGGGGGGTAGGGGGGGTACCCCCCCGGCAGCTTTTTCCGTGAGGGCCAGCCACCCACACCGCGTTAAACTCATGGACCAGACGCTTTTTCGCACAAAAAAAAAAACCACCAACCAAACCACCCCCCCCCCCCCTACCCCCCTACCCCCCTACCCCCCACCCCCCCCCCCCCCCCCCCCCCCCCCCCCCCCCCCCCCCCCCCCCCCCCCCCCCCCCCCCCCCCCCCCCCCCCCCCCCCCCCCTACCCCCCCACCCCTCCCCCCCGCCCCACCTTTCTTCAAGGATCGTAATCAGGCATCAAAGAGGGCCATCCACACCTGCCACCCCCCCACACGGAAATTGCCCCAAACTGCTTCAGCTCCTAAACTGTTTGGGTCCTGGTGCTACCCCCTACCCCCCCCCACGTTTCACAGAGGCGCGAGCGTTTCACAACTTTTTGGGATTCTGCCGAGCAGGCTGCGATGCTCTTCGAACCATGCGATGAGGAAAGCATCCTTTGAGCCGACGAGCGGGTTTAGACCTTTCAACTATGCTCTGGCGGGGTCGGCGGCTTGAGCCGGAGGCTCTTAAATTTAGAGGCTAAACCGCAAACTCCCGCTCATGTGCGGCCAGTGTACACCGTGCCTTCTTTTTGTGTGCCTGCCGTTGGGTGGGACGACCCTGAGGGTGGGACGACCCTGAACACCCCTGCAGTTCTGTCCCCTGGATCTCAAATCCGCGACTTGGAGGTACATGGGCAAGTGCAAGCAGTCTTATCAGTAGGGCTGTGCTTCTAAGCCAATGTGGGGGTACTGAACCCTAAACCCTAAACCCTAAACTAAACCCTAAACCCCGTACTTCTAAACCAATTTGGGGGGAGTGCTTATGAGACCACTTATAACTGAACTCCGAGTAAGGACCGGCCGCAGGGTCTAAAGCGTTTAGGGTTTGGGGTTTAGGGTTTAGGGTTTAGGGTTTAGGGTTTAGAGGGTTTAGGATTTAGGGTTGTATGGCTTGAGGGTTTTAGGTCTAAGGGTAAGTACATGGTCCCTGAATATGGTCCCTTACCTTCCTCAAATTGTTCTGAAGTAGAGGCCCTTGGATTTTTACAGGGTATATAGCGGGTATAAAAGGTTCCCCATTTAAAGGGTCTTAGGGTTTTTAGCTATCCCTAATTAGGCCAAGCCTCCGCCCTCATGCTCCGTGCCCCAAAAAACCACACGCAGTTCCTATTCGGATTTAGGGTTTAGGGTTTAGGGTTTAGGGTTTAGGGTTTAGGGTTTAGGGTTTAGGGTTTAGGGTTTAGGGTTTAGGGTTTAGGGTTTAGGGTTTAGGGTTTAGGGTTTAGGGTTTGGGGTCCCACGTTCTTATCCGCCGGCTTTCAGGAGTGCGGATCTCTCGTCTGCAAGGCCCCTTTCAAAGCCCGCTTGGCTTATGCCCTGGCACGGGAAGCCGCCGATCGCTCCCCCTGACTGCCATTGGAAGGCATACAGGTTGAAACGTCTTTCTGGACAGGGCCGGGGCTGGCCATCGAGTCACGGTGCCCGGCCAGAATCACGTCCCGGCATCTGTCGTCGCACTCCATAAACCTTAAACCCTAGGAAGGACTGCTAGTATTAAGACATGAGGGAGATTTTGGGAATACTGATTTCGGCTCTTGTGCTGGAGTTGTGGGTTTCGGAGGCTTTCGATTCTAGGCCCCTCGGTGGCTTGGAGAGGGTTTAGGGTTTGGGGTTTGGGGTCTGGGGTTTTGGGGTTTAGGGTTTAGGGTTCAGGGTATAGGGTTTAGGGCTCAGGGTTCAGGGTTTAGGGCTTAGGGCGCCATAAACCCCCCAAGCCGGAACCCGAACTGAGTGCCCTGGCTCGCGACTGCTGCTGGTGGGAGAGGCGATGAGCTGAAAGCCGTCAGAGACCTCTTACATCTTACTCGGAGGTTCATGGTACCTATTTAAAAGATGTAACTGTGCTTATAACCATACTTACATCTTACTTGGAGGTTCATGGTACCTATTTGAAAGATGTAACTGTGCTTGTAACCATACTTACATCTTACTTGGAGGTTCATGGTACCTATTTGAAAGATGTAACTGTGCTTGTAACCATATCAAGGCTCTTCAGGGGCTTATATGTGGGTTGCAAGTACAGTTAGAATTCGGTAATAAGTACCATGAACCTCCAAGTAGGGAGTTCCATGATCCGTTAGTATGGACCCTCAACTGGGGAAGCCTGAGGTGCATGTATACATCTATACCCTTTGAAACCCAACGGCCCATACTTCAGAACCCTGTTCAGAAGGTAGGGGACCATACCAAGGGGCCATGTAACTTACTCTAGATCCAACTGAGAGGAAGAAGAAGAATTGTCTGCACCTTTTTCCTTAAAAGATGCCCTCCAAAGCAGCATCACAGCTGTAATTGCATTCTAGGATCCTTTTTAGGAAGCAAACGCGAGCAAACCCCCTAACATCCCTTAACATAAGAAACCCTACAGACCCCTCGAAATCCCTAACAACCCCTCAAAAACATCCAAGCCCTAAACCCTAAACCCTAAACCCTAAACCCTTAATCACAAGACCTGAGGAAGGAACACCCAAACCCCTGCCTGGCGCTCCACCCCCG